AGAGCCAGAGAAGTCGAAGCACTGCCAGAAGCTGCAGACATCATGTGAACAGAACAGGAGGGAAAGTGTCCTGCCAGACCAGAAGACCTTCAGCAAAGACATGAATGTCAACAAGAGCGCCATCTGGAGGCCTTGGTAGAGCCTTAAAGACTCAGACTGAATGTCTACACTAGACTCAGTGGACTATTATTTTTAAGTTTTCTTTTTTGAGGAAAAGTGTTTATTAAATTCTAATTTGGAATTTTTTTATGTAAAGTATTTTATGATACAGTGATAACTCTGCTTCACTTTACTTTGCATTAGATGTTATGCATTTGGATGTATAATGTGCAAGGCATTTATTCAGCTGTTTGAATACTTCCAACTTCATGTGATTCAACATGTGTTTAAAAACATTTCTGTTATAGAAATAATTAAATTTCCCATCTATTTTGATGGACTGTCTATTACTTATTTCAAGTAATATCAATTTGTGCTTCACAATGAAGCTAGATTTCATTTTAACCTCATAATGAGCCTTTGAGTAAATTGTTATTTCTCATTGTTTGAGCATATTTGGACAAATCTTGTCAGTTTATAAAGTTTTAAACAGTTCCTTTTTGGAACAAGTTTGTTTAATGTACCCTTTCCTTTCATAAAGGCATGTATTGTGATGAAAACTACGTTTTCAAGGACTCACTTGTATTGTATCAATATGCGTGTGTATTTGACATTGCATGTGTAATGTGCAAAACATCTGTTTTCTCATTAGAGATCTAATAAATCAAATTGCTTTTCAATCCACTTTTGCTTTTCACTGGTATTCACATTTATGAGCACAACATTTTTAATGCAAGGAATGTTTAATAAGTGATATCAGCTACAACATGTTAAAACAAGTTGGATTAAATAACAAAAACACACCTTTACAAAAGGCATCGATTAGATTTGAGACTAAAACTCAAATGACAGGATTTTCTGATGATGTTATGCTTGCCATACACCAGGGGTGTCAAACTCAGTTCCTGGAGGGCCAGAGCCCGGCAGAGTTTTGTTCCGACACACATACCATGTAGTTTTCAAATAAGCCTGAAGGACTTGATTGGTTGGTGTTTAATTAGTGTTGAATCTAAACTCTGCAGGGCTCCGGCCCTCCAGGAATTGAGTTTGACACCCCTGCCATACACTTTAGACAGTTCTCTAACTCGGTGGTTCCTCGCGTACCACCGCTCTGCACATTGCCATGATTCCAGTTTGGAGGGAGCATCTATGTTCCATAGATGCTCTCTTTTTTTTTTAACGACACTTTTTTTTATTAATGTTCAAAAATCAAGAATAGTACACATAGAATAATACAACCATTAACATAAAAATGATAAAATTGAGATGTACATGTCATTAAAGATAGGAAAAGAGTTACAGATAGATAAAGTTTTTAAGGCTTTTTTGTTCTTAGACAACTGGATTAATGAAAGGTATTGCTCAAAATCTTTTATAAAAACAAAGAAGAGAGGTCTAGAGTTTGAATATTTGCATTTGTGGATGTGAAATTTTGCAAGAAGCAAAATCAGATTCACTACATAAAACTGTTTCCTTTTACTCTTGACGATGATCGTTTCGGTGATCTGTGCACCAATCTACGCGGCGTGGATGCCATTAAGTGCATCTGATTGGTCCTTTGCAACACGTAGAATCGTCTGATCGCCTCTCTGTCGTCGTGCGTCAGGTGTGCGTGCTGAGACACGTGACGCAGCGTCTCCTGCAAGCACTGCGAGAATCCGCGCGCGTAGCAGGAATTGGCGCGCTGTTTAAAAAAATCGACGGTCAACTCCAGAATAACGGCGTTGCCTTTGTCTAGTGTAACAAGCCGCCGCTCGGACATCCGCGTCGTTTCGTGAAATAATTCTCTCGGATGTTCGATACTGCCTTTGATTCGGTCTCTCCGCGTCTTTTCCACAAGAATCTTTCGAAACTGCGTAGAAAGTGGAAGAAAACGGTAAGGTTTCAGTGGAAATGAGGTAAGGTTAAAATAAAGATCTGAAAGGTCATATTACACTTACTTTGTAGTTCTCAGGACACTATATGCTCTCACAGCCTTGGTTTTGACTGACCGGTGCCATTATGTAAAGATTTAAATGCAAAAAGTGTGTAAATATAAGGATGAGGTATACCGGAGCTAACGGTTATTAGCTCAGGTTACCGCTTTCTCACACTGCCAGCCAATCGGAGACGAGCACGAGACGCGGGCTTTAAAGTCGAGACGGCGCTTTTAATAGCGGCCAAGCTTGCTTCCTCTCCCGCTGTGGGAAAACACTGGCACGGGCCACTAAAAGTGTGCCTGACTCCTGCGAGCATGTCCAGTAGTGCTGACAAGACCAACAAGTCGGTGTGAGGCAATAAAATGACTGAGACACGCTTCAGACAGGGAGTCTTGATCCTTGAGGTGTTGTTGCGCCAGTGAAAACGGACTTTCCCAGCCTCAGGTTCCAGTTTATTGCATTGATTTCTTACAGAGGGCCTTTAAAGAAATGCTGATTTTTGGATGTGATTTTAACAATGTAATCTGCACATGCATGGATTCATTTAATGTAAACATTTAATTTGATCAGAAAATCAAATGATCAGAAAACGTTTATGAAGTTGAAACTTTTAATTCAGATGCCACAATTTAATTTGACTTAAAGAGAATGTGACCTTCCTGATAGAAATCAGTGAAATATGATAAAATACTACATCAAAACATTTATTAGTAACAGACATTATTATTATTGTTGTTGCTAAATAATGTACAGTGATGTGGGAAATAGTATAAGAATATTCCTGAGATAATATAAAAATCTTAATTTTTTGCAACTTGTTAGTTTCACTAAAAATGAAATATTATGAATATTTACAAAAATATTCAAATTATTAAGATATTTTGGTACTTTTAAAAAGGTTTTTAACCAAGTAACTCCAGATTGTGTCTTAATGTTTTTAGAAAAAAATTTAACTTAAAGTTATTTAGTTTTACCTTTGAATAACTAAACCTGGCTCTCGTCTGAATATAGCCATAGAGGCTGACATGGCATTAAAAAGAACAAAGAAAGAAAATATATTTCATTCCCAGCACTGGATTGTGTTAGTCAAAATAATGTTTGCATCAAGTTTAGATTTAAAAAAAAAAGTGCATGCAAATCTTTAGTATAATCACATATTCAGTTCGGTTATTGAAAGACTGATTGACCTATTGATTAATTGGAACTAGATAAGGTAAATGTAAGTCCTGTGGGATTTGTACTGCCAGTGTTTGATTTGATTTGTGGAGGACGCCTCACCCACTGGCCTCTGAGTGTGGGAAAGCTAATCCTGACTGGGACTCATGGCTTTGTAATGCTAATGAGCTCCTATAAATAGAGGAGCACGACCCTCATTCCCAACAACTGACTCGCTCTCCTCAGAGAAACATCTCTCCATCTGAAACAATGGCTCCGACCTACATGACTGACTACTCTAAACTTTCCAACAAGGAAAAGCATAAAGTAAGTATTTTTGACATTTGAAACACAATTGTTTCTCTATATTTCTCTTTTGTTCTGCTATGAATTTTGAATCACAGAACTAACCAGATGTCTCCTTCCTCAACAGTTGAGAAAACCAGTGGTGGAGAAGATGCGCAGAGATCGCATCAACAACTGCATCGAGCAGCTCAAATCCATGCTGGAGAAGGAGTTCCACCAGCAGGATCCAAACACCAAGCTGGAGAAAGCTGACATCCTGGAGATGACGGTGGTTTTTATGAAACAGCAGCTGCAGCCCAAGACCTCGGCTCCACAGAAAGCCCACTTTGACGGCTATTCCCAGTGCTGGAGGGAGACCATGAGCTTCTTATCTGGAAACTCCAAGGTGGACGCTGTACGTCAGCATCTGAACCACTGCCAGGAAGGCCAGAGATCATCTAAAGGCCTCGTTCACGTGTCTCCAGCTTCCCATCAGCCCATCAAGGTGAAGCAGGAACCGTGTGCTCGCAGACCTCTCTGGAGACCCTGGTAGATGATGAAAGACTTTGACAGAAAAACTAGATGGTGGTTTTACCATCTTTTATGTAGTAGGAGATACTTCCTTTTTAAATTTGTTTTGAAAGAATCTTTTTATGGTGCTCCTACCTAGTTTGTAGAAGGAAGTGGGTTTCACAATGTGAAAGTCTAATCTTCTACAGGTGATTATATTCTGATCAGAGGTTTATTGTAACACACTTCTATAGTTTTCCTCATGGATGGATAGTAATTTGTATAAATCTTCACAATGAAGAGTCGATAAACATCTGTTTAACTCCTGTGGAGTCAAAGTAATTATTTGCAATGTTTGATATGCAAATGTAATGGTTTCTTCTTATGAAAGATGTATTTCTAATATATAGTGGCATATGTTAATTGTGCAATCATACTGTCACATACAAATAAACAACTTTTAAAAATAAACATTCCTGCTTTCCTTTTATTAATCGAAACAAATGCTTTGTGCTGCATATGATTAATGGACCTTTGATTAAACAATGTTTTTAACAAACCTTCACCACTCTTAGTCAAAGTTGTCAAATGGTCTCAATTTCAGCTAATGGGAGTCCATTTACACTTAATGGTCAAAGAATAGCCCAAAATGACAACAAAAAGTCCTAAAATGATGTTACATTCATGCATTTGGCATACACTTTTATCCAAAGTGACTTACATGGCATTTAAGGTACACTCTCAGAAAAAAAAGGCACAAAACCTGGTACTGGGGCACTGTCACCTTTCAAAAGGTACTTATATGCAACCTTTAGGGGTAAAAAAGCAAC